GGGAAGCTCCAGCTCCCTCTCCCTCCTCCAGGGCTGGATGAACCAGCTGCACGTCTACGACCCTGAGCTTTTCCACCCCTCACTCACGCACTCGGTGCTCGCCGTGCTGGATGGGGCCACCCTTAAGCTGTCCTACCCCAAGAGCAACATCCCTCGCAGAGCCACCTTCGAGGAGGAAATCCTCGACACTCCCTTCGTCAGCCACCGCTGCTACGACCTGACTGACGCCAAGGTGAGTCTGGCGGTGCCCAGGACTCTCCCACAGGAGACTCTCCCACTCACCCACGCCTGGCCAGGCCTCACCCCCACTCTCGGTGCCACAGGTCTTCCTGTGCCCCCCCAGCCTGGCCCGAAAGCGGACATGGAACAAGAAATACCCCATCTGTGTCCTCCTCCCTGAGGAGGGCAGGAGCAGCGAGGAGCATGACACGGAGCTGCAGGGGGATGAGGGGACAAAGAAGGTGCCACTGTCCGGGCAGGACATCCCAGGGGACGGCAGGGAGAGGTGCCTGTACCTGTTTGGGAGGACGGGGCGGGAGAAGGAGGAGTGGTACCAGCACCTCGTGCAAGCCTCCCGTGGGACACCCAGCAGCCACGGTGACACCAGGGCAGGTGAGGTGTGGCCATCGTGGCCTCTGCTCTGTGCCAGGACCCATCGGGGTGGGAGATGCACATGTGCCCTTGTGGGCAGCAATGGGCATGGGGGGATTTAAAAGCCATGTGGATGTGGCACTTGGGGACATGCTCTAGTGGTGGTCTTGGCAGTGCTGGGGGAATGGCTGGACTTGATGACATGAGAGGGCTTTTCCAACCTGAGTGACCCTTGGATTCCATGTCCCCAGGTGTGGGACCAGCTCCACAGAGCAGCGGCAGCAGCAGCGGAGGGAGCACCGAGGACATTTCCTCTGCTGTCCCAACCAAGGATCTGTTGGGAAGTGTGGAAGAGATTTACCTGGATTACAACACCTACATGGCCCGATTCGTGCCAGCACAGGGAGCACCCAGCCCAGACCAGAGCCCCTCTCACAGAGCTCTGGGCAGTCCCACACCCACCAAGGTGAGTGGGACAAACCCGGCACTGGGAGCGGGACTGATGGACCCTGCATGGAACCACTGCCAGGCTGTGCTTCATCCCCTCCCTCCTGGCACTGTGGTCGGAGCAGCCAAGCCCTGGGGCAGGGGAACACCCGGGCAGCAGGTCCCACTGCTCAGGGGGCCACCTCCCTCCAGGGGCCCGTGGCTCCTGTCCCCCCACAGCTCGGCGAGGACACGGGCGGGCACGGCGAGGCTGGCATGGCCTGGATGAACGCGCTGGTGGGGCGCATCTTCTGGGACTTCCTCCGAGAGCAGTACTGGGCAGAGCAAGTGTCCAACAAGATCCAGAAGAAGTTGAGCAAGATCAAGGTGAGAGGCAGGAGCATCCCAGCAGCCGGGGGAGCCCCGTCCCCAAGGCCCCACGGCAGGTGCCAGGCTGCAGTGACCGTCCCTGCGGGGTTTCCCTCCATCAGCTCCCGTATTTCATGAATGAGCTGACGCTGACAGAGCTGGACATGGGCACATCCATCCCCTTGGTCCTCAGTGCCTCCAACCCCACCGTAAATGAGCGAGGTAAGAGCCCCACAAGGGACCCCAGGGCTGGCTCCACTGCAGCTTCACTGAGGTGCCAGCCTGGTACCTGAAGCACAGAAGTTTTGGCAGGTGCACAAGCAGCTCTGCCCCCGTGGTGCTGACCTGGTCTCACCCTGTCCCTCTCCCTGGCAGGGCTCTGGGTGGACATGGAGGTCACCTACAGCGGCTCGTTGCAGATGACGCTGGAGACAAAGATGAACCTCAGCAAGCTGGGGAAGGAGAGCACTGCAGAGGAGAGCGGCCTGGCAGAGGCAGGCACGGAGGGGTAAGGAGGCTGTGCATGGCTGGCTTCATCCTCCTCCTCCTCCTGCCTGAGCGAGCCAAGGGGCTGCTGGCCCAGGGCACCCCCATGATGCTCCTCGGGGCTCGCAGGGCCAGGCCCCGGCTGATCCTGCTGGCAGACAGCGACGCCGAGTCCTCCAGCGCCGGCTCCTCCGAGGAGGAAGATGTCACTGCTGCAGAGCCCATGGGAGCCCCGGGGGAGCGGGTCCCCCCGCCGGGCACCGAGGGGTAAGGGGGTGTTGGGGGTCTGTGCCACGAGGGGCACGGGGAGGTGCTGGTGAAGTGCTACACCAGCACGGGGGGCATGGGGACGATGTCCCTGGGAGGGCACACAGCACATGGTGGCAGCCCTTCAGAGGGGACCCTGTCCCTGTGAGATGCCCTGGCAGAGGGATGGGGGACCCCGAAACCCAGCAGGGCCCTGGGTCTCACCCTGTGCTGAGCTGGGGCTCCCCTCGCTTCAGCCACGTCAGCGGCAACAGCACGAGCCGGAAGATCCTGCGCTTCGTGGATAAGATCGCCAAGTCCAAGTACTTCCAGAAGGCCACGGAAAACGAGTTCATCAAGAAGAAGATCGAAGAGGTTTCCAACACGCCGCTGCTGCTGACGGTGGAGGTGCAGGAGCTGGCAGGAACCTTGGCTGTGAACATCCCCCCACCACCGACGGACCGAGTCTGGTACCAGCTCTCCTTCCCCCCACATGCACATCCTCCTTCCAGCTCCCCTTGCTCCCTGCAGCTCCAAGGAGCCAGCTCCAGGGCTTTGGGATCACCTGGGGCAACAGCAGCCCGGGGCTGTTCTCCCAAGGGGACTCACTGACCTCAGGCTCATTTCTCTGAGTCTGCACCCAGGCCAAGGCAGGATCTGGGGACAGTGAGCCGCCACCTCCTCCCTAAAACCCAGCAGTGGGACCGCCTGGGCTGTGCCACATCTTCGAGGCGTGGTGCTTTCTGCCTCTGTCCTTTCCCCCCACAGGTACAGCTTCCGAGTGCCGCCCCAGCTGGAGCTGAAGGTGTGTCCCAAGCTGGGCGAACGGGAGGTGACGTTCCTGCACGTCACCGAGTGGATCGAGAAGAAGCTGCAGCACGAGTTTCAGGTGCCTGGGCTGCTAAAGAGCTTAGAAACCCTGCCATTGGGGATAATCAACCTCAATTTGGGCCAGTTGTCTCTACAAAAAGCCAACATCTGGTCTGCACTGTCCAGTTTTGGACAGTCAAGAGAGAGAAACCAAATAAGCAGCTCCACAGCTGACAGTGCTTGAGGAAAAGTGATTTCCTCCCTTTTGCAGCCCTGTCACGAGCAGGGGGCACTCGGGCTGTCAGCCAGTCCCAGGCATGCACCCCTCAGAAGGGCTGAATCCACCCATCTGCTCTGGTCTGGGGATGCTTTGGAGATTTGCCATCACAAGGGTTTGTTTTCAGCCTCTCACCTTTGAGACCTCTGGTCAAAGAGCAGAAATATCCCCACAGATATTTAGGGCCCCCCAAAGAGCTGCCCATTTGGATGATTTCAAAGTGCTGGTCCCTGCCCTTTGCTGTGAACACCTATGAAGCCATAGGGCCAAGAAAAACTGTTCCTGCTTGTCCTCACCCCAATATCCAGAGCTGGGAACCCTCTGGGGCTGCTGCTGAGGGGGTGGGAGCCCAGGACCTGTTCATAGCTCTGGGCTCTGACCTGAGCGTGGCTCCTGCCAAGCCACCTCCAGGCAGTGTCCCCAGGCAGGGGAGTGGTGTTCAAACCCACTGACTTGTTCCTCTGGGTCCCTCTTTCAGAAGGTCTTGGTGATGCCAAACATGGATGATCTCATCATTCCCATCATGCGCTCCGGCCTGGATCCTTGGCCGCCCGCTGCGGGACTGCCCCGGGACCTGCCAGCCAAGGGGGACAAGAGGCTCTGAAGCACATTCCCAGGGGCAGGGACACTGCATGGAGCTCAGGGACCTCGCTGGGACACGGGGACAGCCAGGGCCTGGCTGGGCCTGGATTCATCCTCATCCTCTGCTTGTGCAGATGAGCCTCCTCCTCAAATCCTGCAAGCACATGTTCAGGGCAGAACCAGGCACAGCACAAAGGAGCTTCTGCAGAGCCAGGAACTTCATGCTGAGGTTTCCAGGACTCCTGGTCAAGGAGGCAGCTCTGGACCGGTGGAAGGCTGGGCTTCCCACTGTCTGGTTCCCAAAGAAGGTGCAGGCCGCCCAGACCGGTTCTGCACCGAAGGAGTTGGGATCATCTCTGACTCAAACATCACAGCTCCAAACATCTCACCCTCCCCACAGGCAGCTGGACTGCAAGGAAAGCACGGGTGGGAAGTGAGTCCAAACTCAATAAATCCATCGCTGCCCAGCCCTGCCTAGCAGCCATCTTGTTGTGCACAAATCCCCACATCTGCCGAGGATTCCAGCTGGGATCGGGGGGATTTGAACGGGGAAAATTCCACGGGTCAGACCTTCAGCTCAGCAAAACAGTGCCTGGGTGAGTGTGTGAGAGGCAGTGAGGGGAGAGACTGTCAGGGACACTGGGCACAGGCAAGTCAGAAGGCCCAGTATTCCCAGTATTCCCAGTGGAAACTGGGACAGAAGTGTAGGAGTGCAGGTACCTGTTCTGCTCTCCTCTGGAAGGAAGGGGAGTCTTTGTGGTAGTTTGAGTGAGTGAGAAAAAAATCGCTGGGAAAAGGAAAGGGAGGACCTAGAGGCCAGAGTAGACACTTGGTTGGCCCAGTTAGTCCCTGTCCATATGGACCAATTCCAAGTGCCACTTTTCCCATCCCTGCCTGCTGGAAACAGGCAAGACATCCCTCCAGAGGGAAGACAGGGAGCAGGCACGGCTTGGAGCCCCTTTATTGGAAGTGCCCAGTCAGGCAGCCTCGTATCCATCCTTACAGCTCTTCCTGCACACTTGGCTTCTCCTTCACCAGGTGTTTCTTTTGAGGGCCCTGGAAGGGAGCAGAGAGGAGAGTTTGGGGTTAGGGACAGACAAACCTGGCCTGAAGAGCTGCATCTAGGCTGTGGGGAGCACAAATGCAGCTCTGCTGGGCCGGGCTGCTCCTGGTCCCTGCTCCCCAGCTGGGGGCTTGGTGCCACCATCCACCAGCCCCCCCGAGCCTCCAGCACCCTCCAGGAATTGGGAAAGGAGCATCATTGCCCTTGCACAGAGGGTTTGTTTCTCTGGACAGCACCAGAGCAGCCAGAGAGCACGAGGAGTGACCTGCCCTGAGCCAGGGGGCTGATCTCTGTCAGGGAACATGGAGGGGACCAGGAACTGGGCTGATGAGTTTTTCCAGGAGGTGTTCCAGTGTTTCCATGGTAGGAAAGCTGCTGAACTGCTGCCTGAGCCTTGGAGGAGGCAAGACCTCCCTCAGCTCAAGGCACAGCTCCTTGGCATCCAACTCAACAGAGCCTGAGGCTAAAAAATGGAGTTGTCCCAGAACAAATCAATCCTATAGGATCAGACAGCAGGGATTACTTATGTGCCTCAAATTCCAGCCAAATGTGATGTTTTACCACACAATATACAGGGGGAAATGGCAAAGAAAAGAGCTGCACCCAGGTGAAACCTCCTGCTGCCCCAGAGATCCTCACCACAGCAGCTCAGGGCTTGCTGTGACACACACCAGGCTCCTGACACTGAGCTGAAGGAAATCAGCTTAACCTCTAAAGAGCTCTGCAAAGGCACTGTCAAACCAATCCCCCTCCCAGCACTAAGGAGGCTTAGCCAGCTTCACATGGCATTTCTGGCTGACAGGCCAGATCCAGACCCAGTTTACATCTGCGTGGGATCCAGGCAGTCGTTTCTTTTCCTTTCTCCTTCTCTCTCTCCTGGCTTACTCAGTGCTTCCTCCATTTCAGTTCAGACTTGCAGCACTCTGGTGTAGGCTGCAAAGCTATTCAAGAAACTGCTTGGTTTGGATTATTTAATCTTTTTTTCTTTTTCGCCCTGTATTTAAGAAAAATACACTGCTTGGCCTTCTTGAAAGCTTCTGACAAAAGAATCACAAATTTGTGCCTGAACATGACCCACACTTTTTTCCTCTCAAGAACATTAAAGCTATAAATCATTCCAAACAAATCAAAGCAGTGCACAATTCCAAGTGAAAGGGACCATATGGCCAAGGCAGTGCCTGCCAAGTTAACTGCTTGTTTAAAACTTCCCAAGGTGAATGGGAACTGGTTGACCATATGGTCTATTATTTGCTAGTTGGGTTGTCTCGGATCACTCACACAACACTCATGTTCTTCCTTCACATAATTTCTGCTGTGTGAACTGAACTCATGGCTGTCTTTATGCAAGAGAGCCTCAATCATTCATTTGCCTGTTGTTATAGAGAGAAGCAGATCATGGAATCACAGAGTCCTGGAATGGTTTGGGTTGGAAGGGACCTTCAAACTCATGCAGTTACACCTCTCTGCCATGGGCAGGGACACCTTCCACTAGAAGGTGCTTGGTTGGAGACAGTCAGTTGCTTTAGCCCCACGAGGAGCTGGAGGCAGCCCAGAGGGAACTCACCATGAAAGCCCTCTTCTCCTGGGCTGTCTGGAAGCGGCCGTGGCCAAATTTGGAAGTGGTGTCAATGAATTTGAGCTCGATGGCTTCATGAGCCCGGCGGCTTGTGTGCACCAGGAGGGACTGGGGAAGGAGAGTCAGAACACATCAGGATTATCGTTACAGAAAATCAGGGCTTCTGCTCTGCTGGAACAGGGTTGGAATAGCCCTTAAGCAAACATCTCCACGAAAATCTGTGCTCTCAGAGCAGTGCCCTGGTGCTCAGGTGGCAGGTGAAAGCTGCTCTTTCGTCTCCTCACAGCCCAAGGTTTCTTTTCTGGGCCCCTTGGGGATTTGAGGCTTCTGTCTCCAGAGAGACTCCACCCACCCACACACCCCACAAACCATCTGCCTGCCCATGGTCTGAGCACCACACTCACGTGCCACGTTGCCCTCTGCAACACAGCACCAGGGATCTGACCAATCCCCCTGCCCAGCATTTGGAGGATTCCCCACATGGGGAATGTGTTCCTGGAGAGCTGCAGCCCGTCCCTGCCCGGCACTGTGGCACCCTCACCTTCCTCAGGGTGAGCACACGCTTCCTGGTGCCCACGACGCAGCCCTTCAGCATGAGGAAGTCGTTGTTGACCTCCCCGTAGTGAGGGAAACCACCCTGTGGGGAGAGGCAGAGAGGTTGGAGGGCAGGAGAGCAGGGTGGGAGCACACCTGTCCACAGGAGGCATTTTCTAGGGGAAGAACAACGCAGTGCCTGACAGTCCTTCCAGCTGACAGCACTCTGCACCCTTCGGGTTGCCTGCTGGGAGTCACAGAATCCTGGAATGGTTTGGGTTGGAGGGACCTTAAAGATCACCCAGTTTCACCCGTGGGCAGGGACACCTTCCACTAGACCACCAGAACCATGTCAGCCACACTGAGTTATCCCAGCTGGATTCACCAAATAAGAGCTGGGGAACCAGAACCTGCTTCCTTCACTGGAGAGTGTGGGTGAACTGAGAGCAGAGCTGGCCAGACTCAAAAGTGAACAGCTTTCAATACACAAAAGCGAATTTTTAAACCAAGTAACAAACATTTTTCTGTTAACTGTCAGATTTTTAATGTGATTTCTTCTTCTTTTTTTTTTTTTTAAAGCAAGTTCTCATTTCCCACCCAAGTTATCAGCCACAAGGGTCTACCAGTGGGCCTCAAAAGACACCACATGTGGATGATTTCCCATGTCCAAAACATAAGGAAAGGAATCACTGCATTTCTTACAGTGAATTTCCTTCAAATCATTTCCTACACAGCTGTCTCCAAACAAGGAATTACTTCCCTGGCTCAGATTCCTGAGCCAGAGCCAGTCACAGCCCCGTTAGCCCTCAGCCCTTACCATAGGTGTGATGGTCTTCTCCGTGATATCATAGTGGGTGGAGGCATTGTTCCTCACCACTTTGCCATCCTCCACGTGGATCCCATGGCCAATGCGGTAAATCTGGGAACAGAGAGGCAACGGAGGTGGGGACATTCCTGCCCCTGACAGAAACACAAAGAATCACGGGACGACCCGGTGTTCACCAAGGTGTGCCCCCGAGCAGGGAAAGAGCACCAGGAAAGACAGGGAGATCTCTTGGGAAACATCTGGGGAGCCTGGGGGGAACTGAGGGCACCGTGCAAAGAAGGATGGAGGCAGGATGGGAGGCAGGAAGGCGTGTGGTGGTCAGAGGGAGCCCCCTGGGCCGTACCTTCTTGTTGATCTCGGTGCGGTGGTGGTAGCCCTTCTGGCCGGCGCGGGCGATGGAGTAGCCCACGCGGGCCGGGTGCCAGGCCCCGATACAGGCCACCTTCCTCAGCCCCTTGTGTGTCTTCCTGGGGAGCTTCTTGGTGTGCCAGCGGCTCGTCACCCCTGGGAATGTGAGGGAGGGAGAGGCTCATCATCCTGCAGAGACAGTGCTGGGGGGAGACCAAGAGCTCTCAGCAGCGGGACAGGCCGGAGCACAGCTCTGCTCTCACTTCCCAGGGCTCTGGTCAGACTGGGATGTGTTCCATGCACACACACAGGAACACCCACACCTCTGCACACCTGGGGCTGGGGAGGAGTTCAGAGAGTCAGAGAATCCCGGAATGGTGTGGGTTGGAAGGGACCTTAGAGATCACACAATTCCAGCCCCCTGCCATGGGCAGGGCCACCTTCCACTAGCCCAGGTTCATTTATGTGCTGATGGTGCCTCTGAGCCTCCTGGGAGGACTCTGAGCAGAGCAGACAACACGGCCTTTAATGGCCTTAATCTCAGAGAAAATCTTTCCATCAGAAGTTACCTGGTCAGCACTTTTGTATCTACATCAGGGGTGCCCCTGTTGCACTTTGCCCTCGCTGGAATCCCTGAGATTAAGGAAACCAAGTTCTGCTACAACAGAACTGGATGTCAGGCTTGAGATCCAGGGACTCTTTGCTACTCCCCGTGCAACAACCTGGGGAGTTCCCAGTGTGGTTTTAACACTGTCCTCCCCCCAAACCACCCCAGGGGCAGTGTCACGTGAGAAGGACAGACCCAAACCCCTGGCAAGGCTCTCCCTGCTCTGTACCTTTCATGCCGTGGCCCTTGGTCACGCCAATGACATCGATCATCTCGTTCTGGCTGAAGACACTGTGCACAGAGATCTGCTTCTCCAGCCTCTCACGCACCCAGTCGACCTTCTCGGCCACCGTGCCCCCGTTCAGCTGGATCTCCATCACGTGGGCCTTCTTCTGCCGCAGCGGGAGCAGCTTCATCTGCACCACACCGGCATTTAGGGAGAAACCTTCCCCTCGTCCCCCAGGCACAAACATACAGGCAGGGCTGAGTCACTCACGGCCTGTGAGGGGCACAGGGGGGAGTAGAGCCACCCCTTCACCCCCTTTCCCAGCAGCCAGAGCCCTGGGCCAGCAGGCCTTTAGATCTGGGACCCCTCGGAGCCAATTCCTTGCCCTTGAGCCCAACTACCCCATCTCCCAGTGCCAGGCCAGGCAGGAGCTGGGGCACACCCTCTCTCCCAGGAGCACAGGGAGAGGTCAACACCAT